ATCTTTGTAACTTACAGTACAGTTGTTAGCTTTGTTTCCTGACACTGAAAGTTTGTAACGCCAACGTCCGCCCTTCTGTTTTTGTATCTTTGTCTGGTACACCTTGTAAACCCCAGGGGCACTGCAAATTTGTAATTCCAACGTCCACCCCCTAAATAAATGTTTGTATCTTTGCATTGTGGGCGTAGTAAACTTTAGGACCACTATAACTTAATAAGTGTGTAACACCAACAGTTGACCTTAAGTTTTTGTATCTTTGTATTGAAAATTTGTAAGCCGTAGCAAGCCTATAAGTTTGCAGCCACATCTTCCTCTCTTGAATCTTTGCATTTTTGCATTCTGGATTTCTTAAGTTGTAAGAACTCTTTGAGCTACAAACGCCAACATCCACCCTGGACATTTTCTTTTTGTGTGGACTTTGTAGACTATAAAGATGCCACGAGTTTGTGTAGACTTTGTAAAAAGTAATGACACTAGAAGTTTGCACGTCCACCCTTGAATGTGTGTACCTTTGTTTTACAGGGTTTGTAAACACTATAAACTTTGTATCGCCAACATCCGCCCCGAAACTTGTGGATCTACGTATTGTAGACTGTGTGATTGTAAGGGACACCAAAGAGTGCAGCGCCAACCACCCGTAAATATTTCGTATTGTAGACTGTGTAAGTTCCATACCACTATACTTAAGAGTGTAGCGCCAACGTCCACCCTTAAGTTTTCGCATTTTTGGATTGTGGACTTTGTAGACTTACACTACTCTGAAAGTTTGTAACTCCAGCGTCCACCCTTAAATTGGGTATCTTTGTGCATTGTTGACTTCTTTACAATTTTTCAAAACACCATACGTTTGCAACACCAACGTCAGCCGTTAAGTTTTTTGTATCTTTGATTAGCGGGCTTTCGAGCCTAAGTTTGTAACACCAATGTCCATCCTTAGATGCTTGTACCTTTGTATTGTGAACTTTGTGAACTTGAGGGGCACCCTGCGCTTGCAATTCCAACATCCGCCCTTAAACTTTCGCATCCTTTTGTCAGTAGACTATGTAAACTTGAGTGACACTATAAGAGTGGAGCGCCAACGGCCACCCTTGAATTTTCGCATCTTTGTGTTGTACGCTAGGCATTGTGAACTAGTTTGACGCTAAAAGTTTGAAACACCAACCTCCGCCCTTCAATGGTTGCATCCTTGTAGCGTGGCTTGTGTAAACTGAAAAAACTATGACTTTGTACCGCCAACGTCCACCCTTAGTTTTGTGAATCTTTGCATTGTGGGTTTTGTGATTTTCACAGACACTCTTAGTTTGTAACACCAACGTCCACGCTTCAAGTTTCGTGTCTTTGTATTGTAGACTTTTCAAACTGCAGTGACACTTTAAGTTTGTAACGCCAACGTCCACCGTTAAGTTTTGCCTCGAGGACACTTTAAGTTTGTACCGCCAAGGTCCACCCTCAATTGTTGTGCCAGACTCAGTATATACTGAAGTGAAGCGAGGGTAAAGCTCTGAACCAACATGCACCTTTGCATTGCAGACGTTGTAAACTTTAGTCACACTACAAGGTTGTAATGCCAACACCCACCCTTAAATTTTGCATCATTGTATTGTGGACTCTGTAAACTGACACTATAAGCTTGTATCGCCAACATCTGCCCTTACACTTGTGTATCTATGTATTGTACATGATGTAAATTTCCGTGACACTATAAGAGTGCGTCGCCAACTTCCACCTTTATGTGTTCGTATCTGTTGTAGACTTTGTGATCTTTACTGACCCTAGGCTTTTGTTAACATCAATGTCCACCCTTAAACTGCTGTGTCCTCGTATTGTAGACTTTGTAAGCTTTACTGACACTTTGAGAGTGCAGCGCCAACGACCAACGTTAAGTTTTTGCATCTTTGTGTTGTAGATTTGGCAAAATTCGGTGCCACTATAGGTTTGTAACGCCCCTGTCCTTCCAGGACACTATAAGTTTGTGACACCAACTTTACAGTACCCTTGAACTGTTGTATTTGTGCTTTAACCTTCAAGGACACTAAAAGGGTGCCACGCCAACATCCAACCTTTAATGCTTGTATCTTTGTATTTTGGACTTTGTAAACTTCAAGGACACCATAAGTTTGCAACGCCAACATATTCCCTTAAGCGTTTGTATCCTGGTATTGTAGACTTTGTAAACTTTGATGACACCATAAGCAGCGTGCAGCACCAACGACCACCCTTAGATTTTCGCATCTTTTTTGCTGTAGACATTGTAAGTTTTTGTGACACCATAAGTTTGCAACGCCAATATCCGCCCTTCAATTGTTGCATCCTTGCATTGTGGCTGGTGTAAACTGACAAAATTATAGGTTTGTATCGCCAACGTCTACCCATAAATTGTATCTTAATGTTGTGGGTTTGTAAACTTTCAAGACAGTACAAGTTTGCAATACCAATGTTCACCTTGTTCGTGTCCTTGTATTGTAGATTCATTGTAGACTTTGCAGATTTCAGTGACACTACCTATGAGTTTGTGACGACAACATCGTCAACGACCACCCTCCATTTTTGAAAATCGGGAATCCCAGATTCCATTGGGTTTTCTCTGGCTTGTTTCGAAAAAACCTAGGAGATCAGGGATGTTGCCAATTCGAACTAGCTCTGCTCTACTTCAAGTTCGTGTATATAAATGCACTTACAAAGTTTGCGAGAAAGCTTATAGATGAAACAATGCTCTGGGCAATGAAGGCGAAAGCCGCTTCAACACCGCACACAAACTAGGACACGAAGCATAATTATCGCTTTTTCTCCCCAGATTTGCTCCAGGTTCTTTTGTGCCAGCTCCCTATGCAACAACACAGCCCATCTAGAAACCTAGGGTGTCACCAATTCTGTTTGGATTTCCTCCAGGTTCTTTTCCAATAAGTTCTTCTATACACAAGTACCGTATCAAACAACAGCAGTCTTGCAATCACGGGCATCCTCCGTTGGACTGAGATCTCTCCTAGATTCTGCTGCATAAATGTCCATATGACTCCGTTTAATCTTTTAAGTCTACGGTCCCGAGTGATATAGGCCCCCTCATGGTCCTGCGATCTGTTGCTGTACCGCGGCTGTCCCAATTGAAATATCAGACTTTGAAGCTTGTCACCATGTTCATTCCACAATAGGACCGACGCTGCAAAAGAGTATTCCTGAAAAAAGCAGCATCATGCAAGAGATTGCCGCAGGCGTTAAGGTTTATTTCATGTCTTCTTGGAGCTTTGTCTGTCAAGCCTGTGTGCTGTGTCAACACCATCATTTTTGAGTCGTGCCAGTTGTCGTGTGATGTCCGTGGATGCTTCATCCTTGGCTTGACTTTTATGGCCTGAGTTTTGTGGGAATGATGGACTCAGGCCAAGAGTTGTTTTTCTGTCAGATGCAGACATGCGAGGAATGAGCTTTCCATGTTGCGATCTCGTGCATGTTTTGCAAATCTGATCAAAATTGGTGTCTTCAGGAAAAAGAACCAGGAGTCTAGTCTCTTCCCCCACCCAACAGCAGAGGGTTCTTGGGATGCACATGATGCACGATCTCCAACCAGGCTCAGAAGGTATCTGGCCGGAGTGCCGCACGGTCCAAAACAAGTCTCGGCAACTTTGCCCAACATTGCAGGTTGTTGCCCGTGGGGAACAGAGCAAGGAAAACCACGATGACTGCTATTTTGTCGTGTGCAGCAGAGGGGTGCTCACAGACATGGCTTTCCCGGGCCTCAAAGCTAACATAGGTCGACTTCACTAACCTGAGAACACAGAGGTAAGCCATGCCGAGGAATTAAGCGAGATTCCAAATCCGGGCTCTTCGGAGTTCAACCCAGACGAAGAGCGAGTCACACGCTGTGTGGGTCTCACGGCAATTGCATTTGGCGATGTTTTGAGCATGAAGAGGCTAGAAGCTCTGCCCTGTCGTTGTTCCAAGTCCACCTGTGCCCTGAACACGCCCTGAGTTGTCTGGAGTGCCTGGTAGCTTCAGGCACTATCAGCCTTCCGTGCATGCCGGCCACGACTGCTGCTTAGCATGCCTTGTCAGGAGGTCCTGAGAAAAAAGCGGCATGCTTTCTGGGGTGCTGAGGCTTGCTGAAGCTTTCAATTTCCGGCTATAATCTTCATGTTTGCATTTTGTGCAGGGTTTAGAGGATGGGTCAAGGTGACAACATGCTTTTCTCAGTAAGTGCATCTTGAAGATCCCTCACTGTTGTTCCAAACTTGTTGCATTTCCAGTCCGGTCTTCCTAATTGTCAGCTTGAAGCCCCACTGCGGCAATGGGAGCGCCGCGTAGCACCTGCACAGTACTCGGCTTATGTGAAGGGTTTTGTTGCCAACAGCCGCTATCTGCCGTCAACACAGACTTGCAAGTGCACATGTCCAAGCACAATGTCCAGTAATACAGGTTCACAGGCCTTACGTAAGGCTTTATCTGGGAAAATCTGCTGCAGTCTTCTGCGCGCAAGGACTAGCTCAAACTCTTGTCGGGTGCAAGATAACGTGTGCCAGGGGCCGGCCCTGCGCTCATGGGTTGGAAGCTCGAGACAGCCACCTCCGCACATCAGCTGGGTGAAAACGACCATGTCGCTTGCTGAGCCCATGCCATGTGCAGCTGCTGCATCCTCCTGCTGGCCTGGCTTCAACGCGGTGTCTACTGCTGGACATGAAAGTACAGAGATACTTGGTTGCGATAGCCTTTACGGGATAGCGTGTGGCTCGGTGATGCTTGCCTGAAACGCAATTGCACAACATCTATGTCGACTGCGCCGGCCCAGGGCGGAAAAAGCGCGCAAGAGGCAGAAAGTCAGCCTCAAGTTTTACCAGGACCGAGCAGGTTCATGGTTCACCTCACGACGCCTCTTTTTTTCGAGTGTGCTTCCTGCTCGTGAGGAAGCTTATGCCAGCCTGCTGCGCCAGAAAGATGAGGCAGCTGCTGCCACCTGACTTAAACCATCGTCCGCGCAAGAGAGGGGTAAACGAGCATGATGGACTTCACCCATGGCGAGTCGGGTTGGCATACCTTCGCCCTCTTTGTTCATACTTGCAGTGAAGGCAGACCCAGCTGAGGCAGCCAAACTCCGCGAGGAGCAGTTGCTGGGCGAGCTGGCGGATTGCCACGCGCTGCTAGCAGATCGCGAGACTTGTGGCCTTCCCAAATTACCACACACTGCTGCTACACATAGAGGGTTGAACGATCAGCCGCGGTTATCTATGGAAGGCCTCCAGGAGATCATGACAACTCTGGAAGGACGCGCAGCGAGCTCAGAGAAGCGTGCAGCTTTCTTCGAGGCCAAACAGAGTGGTGCACATATTCCTGTGTATCGAGTGTTTGCAAAGGCCGCCTTCCCCAACAGGGAAGGCGAGGCAGACTGGCACATGGACCAGGCCGGTGCATAGCTGCCGAGGATGCGTGCGAGCTCGCTCCCAAAGTTCCCGGAGGCATGCTGGGCAGCCGAGAAGCAGATTGATAACGATGAGGCTCGCAGCGTTGAGGTAGCAAACCTTGCGAGCTTGATCGCTTGCTTCTTCAGCAGGAAAAATCGCGTGGGGCGCTCCGGGCACGTTTTAACAAGCTCAACGCAATGCCAGCCGCATCTCGGCATTCAGGGTTCCGGTGTTTCCGTACCCCTTCAGCCTAGCCAAACTTTGTGAAGAATTGCATGAGGAATTAGCGAGCATGGCTTGCCGACTCAAGTGGGGATCGGCACAGAAGCTTGTCTGAAGCTGGCCATGTGGCAGGCGGACGGGCAGATGGTGTGCCTCTTGCCCAGAGAGACACAATTCAGCCCAGGTCTATGAAGAAGGACTGCGAGGCCATGGACGCTAATGCCCTGGATCCTTTCGACCCGTCATGCTTCCTTGTGCAACTTGGCATACAGCACATACTGAGCAAGGGCATATTCAATGGATTCTTCGCTAGTCCAGCTTGCGCGCCAGTCTCGAGGCCCAGTCTCTTGCACTACCTTGCCGCCCCTTGCCTACGATGTCTGCGTCTGGCAGTGATGTGAACGGCATGAAAGCGTTTCAAGTCAGAAGCACCACCGAAGAGCAAAGAGATTGCATGCATGTGCAAGAGGTGGCTGAGATTCTCCAGTGGCGCCTTACATCCGGTCGTTGCAGCAGTCCCAGGGCCGCGGGCTTTGAGCATGTTCGCTTCGGCCCAGAAACTGCAAGCCAGAAGATGCATGCCGACACTGGCAAGCATTCGCCAAGGTCTTGGTACAGCACCTGTCTGAGATGGGCAGGTTGGACAGGCACGGTGCAGGGGGCCGGCATACAGACATGGGTGCATGTGCTGTGCAGGCCCCAGTCCGTTCTGGATTTTGCGGGTTCTCCTGGACTAATTGGCCATCTTGATGATGGCTTCAATGCGGCGGCCAATTCTCCACTCTTTAGATTCGGTGTCCAGCGTTTGAAGGTTTTTCAAAGCCTCTTGATCTGCACTCTTGTATTCTACATGGGAGATTCGTTTAGCGAATGCTGTCGACATTTTCCAGTCTCAGGTCGGTGGTGGTGTGTGGAGCTGGCGAGAGGAAGGCAGACATGTTTCGCAGAAAGTGATGTGCACCAAATCGTCGGTTCAAACCTTCGATTCTTGCTTGGGCTGTGTTCCAGCGCAGATGCCTCAGAGAGTGGTGCCGCACATGACATTATTCGTATTTACGGCCGCGGTGGACTCCCTTTTGTGAAGCAGCTGATTGCAGAAAGCATGCTGGGCCTCATGCAGAACTTGCTGCCAGAGTCCACGGACCACGGAGAACAGGTTATGCTGTGCACACGGCATCTTGACAACGTGTTGCAAGCTCTGGAGAAAACGCAACGTCAACAGTGCTATATATATCCATGTCCATATCTCTGTCCTCTCTGAATACATTCTACATTCACATTGTTTGGGGCTTTCTTTGCCATGGATACGACCAAAGAGGAGCCTGACTCAGATGCCTGTATAGGCAACCGGACTTGTTAGGTTATGCAAGTAAGTCAGATTCACAGTTCGGTAGGTTTTTGCCGCTTGCTGTTTTCGTGTTCATAGTTCTATTCTACAGCGGCCCGAAAAAAGGTGCCTGCTGGTCGGAGTCCTACGTTCGGCTGGTGGCCGCCGGGTACGCCCAATGGGATTGATTAAGGACTTGGTTCGACGCTTCGAGCTTCTTTGGAGAGCTGATGACGATCCCAGACGAAGCTACGCAGAAGCAGAGCAGGACCTGAAGACACCGTCTTTCCCAAGATTTGTGCGGCGAGCACTTCTTGAGTCGCTGCAATTGGCCTAACAGCCGAACACGGAAAAGATCGCACCGTAGTTTATGCAGGGACACGCATGCTCGTCTGGTCATTCTTTTCACTGCTCTGAGTGCGACAGTGCGACTTTGAGCATGTTTGAGCCCCAGCTTCTGTCTGTGCCACCTTCGCTGCCGTCTTCAGCTGGATCAGTTCATGGCAGCCTCCAAGCTCTGCAGGCCGTGCCCAGAATCCCCGTGTACAAGGGCATGCCTCAGCCGCACGCTGAGAACCTCAAGCCCACATCAAAGCGGTCCAGAGTGGGCGGCGCATAGCAAGCCCAGCCATTCAACAGTGAAGAGGTTTGGAGACACGATTACGTTTCCATCGCAAGCCTGTGGCTGTGTGCGAGCAAGTTAACAGCGAAGAGGTTTGGAGACACGTCCACCTTTCCATCGCAAGCTTGTGGCTGTGCAAGCATGCTAGCAGCGAAGCGGTTTGGAGACACGGATACGCTTCCATCGCAAGCCTGCGGCTGTGCGCACAGGCAAACAGCGAAGAGGTCTGCAGACACGATTACGTTTCCATCGCAAGCTTGTGGCTGTGCGAGCAAGTTAACAGCGAAGAGGTCGGGAGACACGATTACCTTTCCATCGCAAGCCTGTGGCTGTGT